ACCGGGGTTAGGTGATACCTATTCTGAGGAACTTTTTAAAATGGTTATTGAGAACATCATATTTTAGAAATACTGATCTGAAGGTTGTATTTAGAATAATCAATAAACTATAGTCACAAGTACTTCTAACATAAAAGACTACAGTGATAGGACAAGTTAATTCATTCCTTTTTCTTAGATTCATTCTACCTTAAGAAAACCATATAAGAAAAACTCTAGTTGAACTTTTCTAAAAATTCAGCACATAAAATTCTTCATCATTCAAATAGTTTTTATAGAATATTAACAGCTAGAAATTTAGGAGTAGTGTTAGTAGACATAAAGTTTTTTGTTTTGTTTTTTTGTGGTCAAAGTCTCTAAATTCAGTAGTACTTGGAAAGAGAAGCAGATATTCATCCAGCATGATTATCTAGAGGCAGATTTTGTCATTAAGAATTTGTATTAAATAAGCACTATAAATTCATATTTTATCATAGATGTGGATATGGTCCACCATGAATTCAGGAGCTTTATAGATAAATAGCTTCCTGATGGACTAGTTGATTTTATGTAGGAATTGGATGATTTAATAAGAATTATTAATAACCAAAGCTATTCAAGCTAAACCAATATCTTAGCAGTGTTGAAATCTCCTGCTTTAGGGTATTATTTGAGAGAGGTCAAGAAGAAAATTTCTCGAGATCACAGATGGCACACTTGTCTAGGTGAATTATGGTGTCTTTTTCCTTTCTTTTAAAGCTTTAGAAACTAACAAGTACAGCTGCTGGAGGCTGGTTATTAAACCAGGGGAACCTTTGGTCTGATTCGGTACAGCAATTCTTATGTTCCTAAATTGCCCACTTTTCTTCTAATTCTACTCTAATTTACTTATGGCACAATTTTATCTGCACATTCATTTCTGGCTTCAGTAGATGGTGACTTAAACAGAGCTGACTTGTACTGGAATCCAAGAGCAAGGCACTAATGACACTGCCAGTGTTCATTTAAGAAACTTTGCCCTGTGAAATAACTTATGACATTCCAGATTATAATTTACAGATAATAAAATTCCTTTGCCTATAGATGGAGATGTAGTTTTCAAAAAATGATTGAAATAGCTATTGAAGTGAAGGAGCATTTTACTCTATAATGTGAAGAAATCTCCAAAGACTTTAAAACACAACAAGAAAGATAATTCTCTTCCTGTCTGTATCAATTAAAAACTTTGTGAAATATAACATATTTCCCAGATATACCATTCCAAAATACTATATGATTTTACTCTCAAAATTATAAGATAAATTCAAACATCTTGACTTTGCTATTTCTCAAAAACATTTTCTGTTCTTGTCACAAAATAAAGATTTTAAAGTGGTAATACCTAAAATTTTCTATGAAATAGGTAGATAGGGATTCCAGGTCTCCTAGGGACGAAAATGGGTGCTGTTGCCCACATCTTAGTCCTCCCCCACCCTAATTCTTCTTACCTGGGGGAGGAGGGAATATTCTATGAATCTGCAAGTCAGAATTTGGTAGGTCAGCTGCAAAAGAATGCAGAGGACTCTCTATCCCACAGGCCAACCCAAGCCTCATGGGCACCGTACAGTCCAGAAAATGACCTAGAACCCACATGCATAGTTAAAAATCAGGTCATGTGACTCCCAACTGTCTAATCAAAGTGGTTCCATGGTGACCTCTGAACCACAATGGAGGTCCCTATCTGGACACTATAAAATATGATGCAGACCCTAGCCAAGCTCTCTCTTTTTGCCCTTGCTTTTGTCTGCCCTGCTGCAACAATCGGTCTGGTCATCCATGGCATATGAATCATGCTCTGTAAACCTATTATCTTGCTCTTGTCCTTTAATCCTATCTTTCTCTCCTCAATAAACCTCATTTTCATACTTGCCTCACTTTGGCATGTCTGGTCATTCTTCCACCATGGGCGCGCCAAGAACTGATGGTCTCAGACTAAAAACCTAACAAATAGAGAAGTCTATGCTCTATTTTTACTATCAGGTTCTTTTTATACTTTTTGATATGCCAAAATGGTCTAAAAATCATTCACTAAAATTTTCCTCTTACGTAGGTTTGAGAGGTTTTCAGACATGGCTTATTTAACAAAAAAAGTCAGAGAGTATCTTTCCCTAACATCTGTGTTACAGAAAATAACCTGCTTGTCACTGATATTTGAGCACATATTTGATAACTCATTTTATTAACATATTAAAGAAAAACATTAATTGACTCAGTATGCCTTTCTATGAAGAAAAATATGTATTAGCTTCACAAATAAAGTTTTCTTGGGATCATAGGATCCCAGTCTTGCCTACCCAATCCTAACCCAGGAATTAAGATTCTCTGATTAAGAATTCACAGGCACTTTTTTCTAAAGTAAGCTATATAGTAATTTTAAAGTGAATATATTTCAATGTGCTTTAAAATCTAGTAAAATGAAGCAATGGTTAGTCGTCATAAATTGAAAGGCCAGCAGAAATATTTCACTGTCATAAGAAGGTTGAGGGAAAACAGTTTATATTGGGTAATTTTTTAAATATGCAAATATTCATAGATTCATATTCATGTTATGTCTAACTAAAGTAAAATTCTATT